TAAAGAAACTTTAAGCTTTATTATTAATTCAAGCAAACAGATCTAAAAGCATAACATAAAAGACATACATACCAAGCAAGATGACACCCACATCTCTTGCAAGCTGCCAAAAACTCCTTAATAAGGACTGCAGAGATACTCTAAGAGTGGCCAATTCCCACAGTACCCAGTGCTGGATTCTGTGCAGAAATTTCCAACAATCAACAACAACCCCAAGGTTTTTATCAAAACTTGGTACTATGACTTCATGGCCCTGCTATGGTCATGAGACTGTAAAACCTGATCTTGACCAGATGACACATGTCTCTGGGGAGGGGAACCAAAAGTTTGAGATTTTTCATAGACTGCAGCTATCTTACCTCCTACCCCCACCCCTTTCTCTTTTATTCAGTAAACAAGAGTAAAAAAAAATCCATTAGGTTTGCTCAGAATGAGTTCTAAACTCCTAGACTTTTCTTAATAGGAAGGAGAAATCAAAATATGCCATGAAACTCCTCGGAGAACAACATTGCTACCACACTGTTTTCTCATCCAGTGCTGGTGTAGAAGGTGTGGCAGCACCATTAAGTAACATGTGGCACAGGATTCCATTCATCCATCTTGGCTCTCTCTTTTGAAACAGAGCAAGCATGGCATTTGTCACCTGCCCATCCATTCACTACTTTCCTTGTTCTGAATACATCTAGAGGACACCAGGATGGTTAAAAAAAAGGGCATCAAATTCAAGAAAGCCCATATGAAATGTCACAACAGTTAGTGTTAGGGAAGGGAAAAAATTAGTCCCATTGTTCTTCTATGTATGAACATTCCGGCACAGGAGTTGCATTGCTAGGGATTTTACATTGCTAGGAAAACACTTTAAATAGTGCAGCAAAATATTTAAAAAGATTCACATAGTGATATTGGGAATGTCACAAAAATTGCCCAGTATATTTAAACAATTTAACCCTCCACATGGAAAGAGAACAGTGCTAAAAGTGCTGCATTTCCCCATACAATTGCAATATGTACTCAGTATACAGTTGTGTAGCAAAAGTACAATTTGAGGGAAGCTATATTAAAGGACCATAAGAAAACCACAATTACTAAGCAAAATATTGTTTGTGCAAAACAGCTTGAGAAATTGTTTTCTTCTTGGTTGATTGGTTAATTGATTAAGTGCCATGAAGACAGTGTCAGCTCTTAGCAACCGTATAGATTTTCTCTTTGACAATCTATCCTTAACCCATCCTTTAGGTCTTCCAACAGTGCGCTTAATCACCACTGTAATTGAGTCCATCCATCCTGCTGCTAGTCATCTTCTTTCCCTAGAAACTTCTCCAGAAAGCTCAGTCTTGATCTTGAAGAAGACTTATCATGTGGTTCTAAGAGTTGACACTGAGTTCATGGTGCAAAATCTTCTTTCATTTGTCATTATGACCTGAATCTCAACATCTGAATCACAACAATTATGCACACGCATTCCAATTGAAAATCTGGGAAGTAAGTATGAGTGTGTTCATATACAAATTTGGATGGGATGAATTTCTTATTCATTCCAGATCAGAACAATACTGCATGTGGCTAACCACTATTCCATGTAAAAGGAAAATTCTTCCTTTGGAAGCTGTGAAGCAATACTGCATTCTCTTAAGTATGGTTATTCTTATCCTTGCAACAATCAGAGGCCCAGCATTTGCAGAGCTTCAGTCTTTATTTCTCAGTGCATCACAAGCAAAAATATTTTTCCTTCTCAGGAAAACCCTGATGCTGTGGCCTTATCTGATCTTACTCCATAACCTTCCTGAGTGCCATGAGGCAGCAATTCCCAACTGTGGTTGTGTTTACCCTGCATAATACCATGGTATGATAATCAATAGTCCATTGAATAAACAATTACTGGTGGGGTTCATACCATATGCAACAACACAAGCTACATTATTGCTCAGTGTATGGTATGAAACCAACTTTTGGCTATTTTTGTTTTCCTTTGAGAAAAGCTAAAATGATCATTTCCATTGTTTGGGAAAGGCTGCCTGGAACTAATTTTAACAAGGCATAGTTATGGGAGAGGCTCAACAGAGGGAAGCATTTTACTTGGTCAGACCTGGTTAGTGCCTGAATCAGAGACCACCAGAGAATTCCAAGGATCTTGGCTAGCTGGAAAAATGTTTTAAAAAATCCGCAAAGAAAACCAGTCCCATATTATTATTGCCTAAGTAACCACAGATATGTGCTGATATGATCACCAGGAACGCAGCTTGCCTTGAGGGCATCTTAAATAATTTCTTTAGTCATGGAACAAGAGTTAACAATAAAGTACCAGTAGGAGCTACTCAGTGCAGCTGTATGTGTTTTGCTCTGTGCAGGGCAGAAAAGAAATTACAGTCCAGTCAAACTTTCAGCATAGCGACAAATTGCACCACATAGAGATGAACAAGTTTATAATTGCTGCAACTAATGTTCAATAGTGACACAAAAGAAGCATTTTGTTTATATTGGGCACCATATCCTCAGGATTCATTAGACAAAGGTTATCTGGGATAGCAGAATGTTAGCAAGGCACCAATCCCATCTAGGCGGGGGAGACAAGGGACCATATGATATCATGTATATCACAACTTCGTATAGATGACTATTGTATTGTGCCTTGTTCATAGCATTTGTTGGACTGGTGCAAATTACATAATTTGTGTCATTTGACTGATAATGTTATGATAAATGGGATAGGATGATGACCTCTACCAGACATCTGTGATCCCCTTTCAAGGTGTCTGCACAACTAATTGAAAACCCAGATTCATTGTAAGATAAATAGCAGACAAGTGACTCGTTGGAAAAACAGCCACTACTGAGATAATATTGCTAAAGTGAGGGATGCCTTATATGGAAATGATAATGCAGCTAGAAAGGCTTAAGGCTAAACTAGATCTGGAATTGAAAAGAAAATATAACCCATTCCTCCCCTGTGACTCTACGATTCTTGGGGAAGCCTCTCTTCAGCAATTGGCATGGGAGATTTTCATGCAAAGGCTACAGTATAGGTTCAAAGTCCCTAAAATCTGCCAATCAATTTTAACAAAACTATAAAGACACTTATACCATCATGGATGTTTTGGCCCATAAATAACATAAAATTCTTTCCTGATTTTTTTTTTTTAACTTAAAAGAAAGCATGATTTGACTGAATTTTTGTGAGGAGAAATTTCAGCAATCCCATGTCACCAGAAATTGTACCATAATGTCAAACTGAGAGCACCAAAGAGAAATATATCTGTAGCTGAGGGGTTCTTGGTGCGCTCGTAGCTTGGTTGTTTTCTTGCAGATATTTCATTATCCAAACTAGGTAACATCAGTGCTGGTCCTATGAGCCCTCATTTCAGCCCTCAGCTACAAATATTCTCTTTTATTGATATCTGTAGTTATTGATCCCCATAAATCTGTGAGTGTTATCATTATCTCAGTTTCTACTTTTTTTTCCAAGAAAAAGTAAATAAAAGGCAAATACCTTTTCATGTGATAGCTCATGTGAAAACTGATCAAATAAATGCAAATAAATGTGTGTGTTTTTTAAAATGATCAGACTCTGATGATGTTACCTCTTGTGTCCTGGGCCTGATGAGGCAGCTCAGCAGGCCCAGAAATGTTGCAAATGGTCCTGGGCAACCCAAAAGCTGCCCGGGACCAGACTGGTTGGCGCTGGCCTTGCGCGCAGGAGCAAGGCACAAACAAAGGAGATTTATGATAGGCTGTTTGGGAAACTATAAAAGGACTGCAAGCCTGTTGGGTTACTGAATGGTAACGTGGAATGAATAAAGAAGAACTTGGTTACAACATGAGTGTGTGTCGCTTCAATGCCGCGAACCCCAAGATGTAAAATTGCCTACTAGCAGAGGAGAATGTCTCACACAACCTGCTGAGAAATTAAGGAAGGCCTCTCCCCTAGGAGGCCCTGCTCTGATCCAGAGAACCACTGATCTCTCTAGAACTGCACCCCTGCTCATTTAAGAATTTGTTGTGGCAAAATGTAAGGATTGATTGGAGGGTGGGAGGATTTGATGAATGAAGATAACACTTTAAACAGCTTTAAACAGCTTAAATGGCAGGGTGGAGAGAACCATAATAAGCCTGTGCTTCTTGCCAGCCTTTAAGGATTAAACTCATACATTGCCCATCTTTTTAATTTCTTCTTTCCAGAAAGAAATAATGGAAAATATGTTCCTTTGAGGAAGGGGGGAATTCCACCCTTTATCCCAGCCTACTCAGCCAGCTGATACAATTGGAAACACTGAAATGCGAGACAGGTTCATCCCAATTCAAAATCCAATGTTTCTAGGATTAATAGTCATATTCCTTTCCTATGTAAAGGACAAAACAAACAAAAAACAAAAGCCTCCAACCCTATATCACTGTCTATCACTTCTAAGTTCATCTCGGAATCTTTGGGTAAGGTCTTTTTTTTTTTTTTTTCAATCACATCAGGCTGAGAAAACTGGGTCCTTGAGCCAGTCTGTTGAAAAGCTCCCAATGGCAATGTTCTCTGAAGATGTTCCTGCTGCTATCTTTATTCCAAGACCAGGCTGAGGCTGAGGCTGAGGCTGAGGCTGAGGCTGAGGCTGAGGAGAAGGAGGAGAAGGAGAAGGAGAAGGAGAAGGAGAAGGAGAAGAAGGAAAAGAAGGAGAAGAAGAAGACTTTGTCTAGTGGAGAGTGAGAGATGCTGCCAGAACCTGGTACACTTCCTGACTATGTGGGAGAGATCAGCAAGGGAATGTTGATAACTGCATCCGATTGCACATGCTTTCACTGCTTGGGGATAACTGCTGTTCAGTTCTACAGGATTGCATGGGGATATTGGTGTATAATTTTGCCACAAACAGATATCTTTAAGTATTAGCACATACCTTAATAGTCCTTTATTTAAGAGACCCAGGAGTACTTTTTTGTCAATAATGGTAATCCCTGGTTTGCATGAAGGGGAAAGGAGCTGCTAACAAATTCTTACATTATATAACTCTCTATTCCATGCTGCACAACTCCTCCATGTCAGTCTAAGTTCTTCTTTTCCCCGCATTAATCTTGGACATCTTGGCTTTTTATAATTGGATTTTGCAGGACATGTGACGAGATAAAAACTCCTCAGAGCTATTGTAACAAAACTGGGTTACCCTACAAGTGGGAGGGAGAAGGAGAGAAAAAGTGCAGTGCAAGAGAAATGGTTTGACTTGATGCTATCTTCTTAACAGTCTTGGACCAATAATCTGTCAGCCTACCGCTTCTAAGCACGGCACATCTAAGAAGCACCTTGTTTATCACTCTGGAGATAGAAATAGCTGAGACCAAAAATTTGAAGACCTGGAAAAAAACAGAGGAATTGGAGGGGCCAAACAAAGTAGAAGACGAAGGTGATATGGGTAGTGGAGCAAGTGCTGAAGACAAGGAACTTGCTAAGAGGTCAAAGGAGTTGGAAAAGAAGCTTCAAGAAGATGGAGATAAAGAGGCAAAGACAGTTAAGCTACTCCTATTAGGTAAGTGTAATATAACAGGCCATTTTATCTTCATGAAGAATGTCTTCTTCATTTTTTGAGGATCCTAGCATCTTTACCTTGGGTGGGGTCAACAAGTGAAAACTAGTGTAGAACTGCTCTTCCTGCACATTTTCTAAATGCTGTCCACAAAGCTTTCTGAAGTTAGACACCAGTTACTCGGTATTAGCAACAGCAGTTCAGATGGAAAAATCTTTAATTTGGTTAGATTTGGTTAGAACTAAGGTTTGGGGTGATTCTGGTATAAACAAGAAATTTAAAAAATTAGAAACTTAAATTTTCTGTTTCCTGAGACAAATTAGTATCAATGGCAGAAGACAGAACAGTGGGACAAATAACTACAGTCCATTGGTTAAAATGAGAGGTCACAGAGATCCTTTTCAGAAGTCAGGGGCATTGGATATTAAAAAATACTATATAGCTTTTCTATAATTTTTATTTTCATATATATTTACATATATTTCAGTGTATATATATATGAGCCTATATTCTGCTCTGGGAAGCTCAGGGGGGGAGGGGGGTGGGTTTTCTGGGGGGGGTTTGGGGAAGGGGAGTCTTGTTATGTCATGTTTAGTTTTTTTTCTTTTGTATATGTTGTTTTTTGTATTGTTATTTTGTTTTTCTGTAAAAATTTATAAAATTTTTTAATAATAATAAAAAAAAAGAAGTCAGGGGCACCGTGTCTGTTAGAAAAGATTAAGTATTTCCAAGAAAGATAATGTAATGCTAAGAAGTGAGGAAAGACAATAGCTTATGTTTCAGAATCGGTAAAATTCTCCCTTATGCTGAAATATTTTCCATGATTAAAAATAAAAGTAAAAGTAAAATTTTGGGAAGGAAGGAAGGAAGGAAGGAAGGAAGGAAGGAAGGAAGGAAGGAAGGAAGGAAGGAAGGAAGGAAGGAAGGATTTCATCTAAAATAGTTTCCTATACAATTGGCTCTTCTCAAATGTGTGGTGAACTTGCTATGTAATCATCATTAAATTTAATTTTTGCCCTATGAAGGAGGCATTGGCAAACAACTTCCAAAATTTTTTGCCAAGAACACTGCAGGATCTTGACCTGGCAGTCATTAGGAGTAAAAAATTGACTAAAACACACACAGACACACATCAAAAAACCATTAATTTTACCAGCAGTCCATAAGTACAGGGCATTGAAAATGCATTGACAATAGTAGTAGTAGTAGTAGTAGTAGTAGTAGTAATAATAATAATAATAATAATAATAATAATAATAATAATAATAATAATAAAGTCATAGAAAATGATAAAATTAAACTGCTCTGGGACTTCAGAATTCAAACAGACAAGCACCTGCAACATAACACCCCAGACTTAACAATTGTCGATAAGAAAGACAAAAAAGTCTGGATAGTGGACGTGGCAGTGCCTGGAGATAGCAGAATAGAAGAGAAAGAACTGGAGAAGATAACAAAATACAAAGACCTACAAATAGAAATAGAAAGACTGTGGCAAAAGCAAGCAAGGGTAGTACCAATAGTAATAGGCTCCTTGGGTGCAATCCCAAAACAACTGGAGCACCACTTGAACACCATTGGCATTGACAAATTCGCTATTAGTCAATTGCAAAAGGCGGCCTTATTAGGAACTGCTTCCATCCTGCGACGATATCTGTAATACCATCAAACATCCACATCTGCCTATCCCAGGTCCTGGGTAAGGACTCGATAGGTAGACAAAATGCCAAATCCAGTCTGAACATCTGGCTGACTGTGCGATGATCAATAATAATAATAATAGTAATAATTCAACAATACTGAATAACTCAGGACATGGCTATCAAACATCAAAAACATCTGCCAGACTATCCCACCTCCTTTATATGGATGATCTGAAGCTGTATGGAAAAACATCATCTGAAATAGAATCGCTGCTCAACACTGTCCGTATATATAGCCAAGATATTGTAATGGAGTTTGGCTTGGACAAATGTGCCACACTTACTATCAAACAAGGAAAATAGTGAAAACTGAAGGAATCAAGATGCCCCACGAAAATAACATTAAGAGTCTGGATGAGGAAGAGTACTACAAATACTTGGGTATCCTTCAAGCTGACAACATCAAGCACACTGAAGTCAAGAAAAAGATTAGAGGTGAATACATCAAGAGAGTGAAGAAGATCTTAAAATCCAAACTCAATGGAGGAAATACCATAAAGGCAATCAACACCTGGGCAATCCCAGTCATTAGGTACACAGCTGGAATAGTGGACTGGACTCAAGCAGAACTAAAAGCAATGGATAGGCAGACCAGAAAAATAATGACAATGAATCATGCCCTTCATCCACGCAGTGACATTGATAGACTTTATCTACCAAGGCAAATAGGTGGGCGTGGAATGCTACAAGTACATCAGATGGTTGAAGAAGAAAAAATGGCTTTGGAAGAATATCTGAAGAACAATGATGAAGATGCACTGAAATTAGTATATCAGGAAGGCTTACTAACTACTGGAGACACCAAACTGGCCTACAAGAAAGACCAAATGAAGAACAGAATAGAGGCATGGGAAGACAAAGCACTACATGGCCAATACATGAAAAAAATAGCTGGGAAAGCAGATAATAATAAAACCTGGCAATGGCTAAGAGCAGAAAAATTGAAGAAAGAGACCGAGGGACTAATTCTGGCTGCACAAGACCAAGCCTTAAGGACAAATGCATACAAAGTCAAAATTGAGAAGACAGCAACAGACAGTAAGTGCCGCCTATGCAAAGAAGCTGAAGAAACAGTGGATCACTTGGTAAGCTGTTGCAAGAAGATTGCACAAACTGATTACAAGCAGCGGCATGACAAAGTAGCAACAATGGTGCATTGGAAGATCTGCAAAAAATATCATTTGCCTGTAAGCAAAAACTGGTGGGATCATAAAATAGAGAAAGTCATAGAAAATGATAAAATTAAACTGCTCTGGGACTTCAGAATTCAAACAGACAAGCACCTGCAACATAACACCCCAGACTTAACAATTGTCGATAAGAAAGACAAAAAAGTCTGGATAGTGGATGTGGCAGTGCCTGGAGATAGCAGAATAGAAGAGAAAGAACTGGAGAAGATAACAAAATACAAAGACCTACAAATAGAAATAGAAAGACTGTGGCAAAAGCAAGCAAGGGTAGTACCAATAGTCATAGGCTCCTTGGGTGCAATCCCAAAACAACTGGAGCACCACTTGAACACCATTGGCATTGACAAATTTGCTATTAGTCAATTGCAAAAGGCGGCCTTATTAGGAACTGCTTCCATCCTGCGACGATATCTGTAATACCATCAAACATCCACATCTGCCTATCCCAGGTCCTGGGTAAGGACTCGATAGGTAGACAAAATGCCAAATCCAGTCTGAACATCTGGCTGACTGTGCGATGATCGATAATAATAATAATAATAAAAATAATATCTGTAATACCATCAAACATCCACGTCTGTCTATCCCAGGTCCTTGGTAAGGACTCGATAGGTAGACAAAATGCCAAATCCAGTCTGAACATCTGGCTGACTGCGATGATGATGATGATGATGATAATGATAATAATAATAATAATAATAAATGATTTATTAAATATATATGCTTCCCAACTGCTAGCAACTCTGGTTGATTTACTATTGTTGAAAATATTTAACAACAAAAAAAGTAAATAAATAAAACAAAACAAAAAGTAGCACAAGACAGAAAAACAACAGCGGCAAAGAAAACAAGCCCAGAGAGGAACAGAAAGCAAGAAAGGAGTATCACATCCTCATCAAAGGCCTGAGGAAAGAGACAGGTCCTTAGCACTCTTCAAAATACCAGTAGGGTGGGACCCATCTGAATTTTGAGAACTCTTATCCCAGAAGGCAGGCACTGCTACAGAGAAAGCATGCTTCTGGGTTCAGACAAATGGCTTTATTTAATTGGTGGAATTCAGAGGGCATACAAATTGAACTGGCCAGATAGATACTATGGGAGGTAAAGAGACCCCAGGTACCAGGTAATCTATGCCATAGAGGGCTTTTTATAGGTGGCAACTGACATCTTGAATTGCACATGGAAATAAACTGGCAACTGGTGCAGTGAAGCAGAGGTGTTCCATAGGCATACTGAGGAATGTCTGTCACTGCCTATATTGCTGGATTCTGGATCAGCTGAAGCTTCCAGATGGTTTAGACTAGAGCATGTTGCAGTAATCAAGCTATGAAGTGACCTGAGAATAAACGACTGTCTGAAGGGTCCACTCAACTTGGAAAGGAAATAACTGGCACATCAGATGAAGTTGGATAAAAGCCTTTCTAGCCATAGCTGTTCACTGAGCAGGAGCTGTGAGTCCAGGAAGACTCCCAAAGTGTGTCACCCCTCCAAGGTCAAAGCTGGAATATCCCCAGATCTGGGTGATCCAAACATCCACAGTTACTTGGTCTGGAAAGGATTGATTTGGATATGGTTTCTTCCGATCCAGACCTGGAACAGAACCGTGACAGCTTCACTTAGCTGGTTCAGAGTTGAAAGACATAACCCAATGTCATCAGCAATCAGTGGATGACCTCACCCAGAAGTTTCATATAAATGTTGAAAAGGAAAGGAGAGAAGCATGCATCACCCCACAAATGAAGGACTTAGGGGACGGTTTCTCCCTGCCTACTAACATCAAATGCAACCAGCCCAGGACAAAGGAAGAGGACCACTGTAAAACAGTGCCCCTAACCTATAGAACCAGCTTAGAAAGATACTATATTTAATGTTATTGAAAGCCTTTGGGAGTTCAAGGAGCAAAAAGACAGATGCCCGACCATCATCCCAGTTCTGTCACTGGTCATCAACAAGTGCAACTACAGCTGTCTCAATACTAAATCCCAGTCTGGAACCTGACTGAAATGTTATCTATTTCCCATCAGCTGCAGGCTGATTGCCTTCTTAATAACCTTCATCACTTTTAAGATTTGGCTGCCCAGGTAGCCAGCTCTCAGTTGTGCCTTCATGC